TGGTAGATTAAAACACCCCAACCCTCTTTTATATTTTAAAATTGTTTTAAAGCCTTAATTGGTGAGCCCGTGGAGCCCACCTTGTTTATTTTTTTATGTTTTCTGATCTCTCTCTTCCTTCTTCTTCGTCTCTCTCCCCCGTAACTCTCCCTTAGCTCTCTCCTTCTCAGCTCTCCCGTCTCTCTCTCCCTCAACCTCTCGCATCTCTCTCTTCCCCTGGACTCACTAGGACCGAGTCACCATCGAAGAGAGGCTCGCAACGAACCCCGGACCCTGCCCTGCGAGTTCGACGGCACGGAGTAAGCTTCGGCAAGCACCGCCCCTTTCGAGGCCATTTCCGGCCAAACCACGGCGAGTTGGTCGGCGTGTAAGGTATCAATCTCTTCGTCTCCTTGAGTACTACAACTTTCCTTTTTGTTTCACTCAATTTCGTTGAATATTGAAGAAGTTATACTCATTTGAATCTTACCCAGTTTCCGGCGAGTCCGACGGCTTTCGAGGCATTTTCCGGCCAAACCACGGCGAGTTAGACGTCGTGTGAGGTACCATTCTCTTCGTCTCTTCAAGGGCTACAACTTTCATTTTTGTCTTGCTTGATTTCGTTGAGTATTGACAAAGTTATGGCCATTTAAAGTTGGGTGGTTTTCCGGCCGAAATTCCGGCCTTCTCCTTCGACAAACCCAGGCCATCCGGCCTTTCCCTCTCCCTCGGGCCTTAGGCCCGTGTTGCCTTAGCCCAGTACCCTAACCCATTCAGTTTTTATTTTTAGTTATATGTTTTTAAAACCCAAAGGGCTCGGGCCCTAGTTTTGGTTGGCCTTGGGCCGGTTTTCAACCAAGGGCTTAAAGCCCTGATTTCTGTTAGGAGGCCTTAGGACCTTGTGTAGTGTGTGTGTGTGTATGTTTATAGTATATGTATGTGTTTGGGCTTAAACCCAAACCCCTTTCCTAACCCTAAACCATTTTAACCCAAAACCTTAGAAATCCAAACCACCCATTTTCACCATAAACCCTTTTAACCTTAGAACCCTAAAATCAAAACCCAATAAATCCTAATCCTATTTAACCTAAACCCTAATCCGGATTTCAAGCCTAAAACCCGTTAGACCTAATTTGACCGTTGACATCCGGTCAACATTGACTTTAGAGTTGACTTTTCGGGTTTTCGTCCGGGACCCTTCTTAAGGTAATTCGACGTTCTGAATCCGTTTCCAACGTCCGTTTTCCCAAATTCAATTGCTATTATATAGTTTTATTAATTGGACCCTTTATGTGCTTAGGGGCAATTATTGTGACGTTTTCGTCTTCGCTAGTGGCGCAGCTTTTGACGGCGAAGTACTGTGAGTGGACCCCTTCTAAAATTACATGATTTGATAATTTAATTGCATAAATGATTAGCATGCCTACGAATTTATGATTTGATTTATGTGAAGCCTGATGATTTAATATATTGATTATCGTCTCGTGTTTTTGGTGAGGAATTAATTGTTGGCCTATATTGAGCTATATTTTAATATATCGTATTTTCTATAAAAACCATGAACTGGTAGACTATCTGATTGATGATGATAGGATGCTAGAACATGATTTTGAACCCTCTTTATAGCGTAGATCGGTAACCTATGCTACGAAGTGGTATTTATGAGAGGCGTAAATATTTGTGCGTACCTAGTAGACACTATGCCGCCTGGGGCGAGGATCTGGTGTTGGCATGTAGGCCGGGAGAAATAATCCCTAGCGAAAGGCTGAGGGACACGGAGACTGGCATTGGGCCGGGAGGGAGTTATCTCTGGCTACGGGCACAGAGACTGAGGTGCGGGCATTGGGCCCGGAGTTATATTTATTCGGTGATCTTACTAGCAGCACACCGCGTTTACGAGACGATTTACGAGATGTTTTACGCGATGATTTATATGATGTTTTCCGCGTTATGGCTTTTGAGATATTTTTGGCATGCTAGGATTTTTATTAAATCCATCACTTATTATGCTAGTAGTTTTCATTTATATAAACTTTGGGGGTTAGTATCTTGATAACTGTTTTATTATTATTGTATATAAACTTGGTCCACTCACCTTTGTTTTGCGCCCCCATTCAGGACTTAGAATCAAGGCACCTAATCCCGACGTGAAGACACTTCCGCAGCAGCATCTTCGGATCCTCTCGATGTAGGACCCACTTCTTTATTCATTCAATTTTATCTCAATTCTTTTTAGTGATTAGGTTTAGTTGTATGTTCTGAACATGTTCTTAAAATTATTAACTCTTATTTATTTCTTATTCTTAGTTTTTGTATCAATTAATGGCTTTCGTCACCCTCGGGTGTCGGCCAGCACGTGTCTATCCTGGTATTCGGGGAATATCAGGGTTGGGGCGTGTCACAAAACCAGAGTATACTTACCTAGGTGTTATTTCCTATTTGCATTTTGATAAGTCTCATGTTTTAACAATCATCCATCATCCCACTCATGGCATAATTGTTTGTGGGATGACACAACTCATGACACAACTGGAGTCTAATTCTACAGAACCCATGACCCTAAACAATCCAAAATTAATAGATTACAGTGACAACATTCCAACAAAAGAAAGAAGACCAAAAAAATTATCTACTCTAAAGTAATTTAGTTCCATCATGCATAAATCAAGGCAGTCACATGAGGCTAGTATCTATGGTAATCCAACACATTAACATAAAGCATCCAAATACACACTCAGAGTTACAAAACGCATGAAAATTCACATTCCAACGTGTTATTCAATCACCAATTTCAAATCCACCAAAACCAATTAAATTTATGTCAGTACGCATCAAAACCAAACCCAAAATCAAAAGAAGGTGATCAATTGTTTGATTTTGCTAAATATTACAAAATAAAATAAATAAAATATGTACAAATCAGCATGCATACCTTGTAGCAGTTCAGGGAACAGTAGCGTGAGTTGCATCGAGGGCATGTGTACTGGGGAAATTGCTTCTGGCAGCTGCAATTAACAAAAACAAAACGAAAAATTGGAATAAAATCAAAATCGGAAAATTTTCCAGAAAAAAAGTAAAACAAATTATCAAGCTTTGTTGATGAAAGAGAAGTGGGGTTGGAGAAGAACATGCACGCAACTATGAGCAGTAGCCAAAAGATTTCAAAATGATTTCTTGGCTTTTCAATCAGGACACGGATGCATATAAAAATGGCAGAGAGAATTAAAACCAAACCAAACAGTAGAAAATGAATCAGGACATGGACGCATATAATTTAGATAGACTGTTACCATGTCTGATCTTCATCAGTAAGATTGTTGTAATATTTTACAACCTTTGGATTGACAGGTCCTCTTCCATCTGAGAGAAACAAACTGATTATTGTTTGTGTGAAAGCTACTTGTTTTGTTCACTCTGAGTTATAATTTGGTGATCATGCATGCTTGGGATAAGTCTTGACCATGAGATGGTAAATCTATATGCCTTCAAACCAGTATCCACCATTCGTTGAACATCTCCCTGCAATGGTATATATGATATATATGATGCGTGCGTATCAAATAGCATCAGCATGTTTCTAATTAATATGATATGGATTTCTACAACACAAAAAGAGGCTTAGTCCCGAATCGTCTCAACAAATAAATGAACCGATTTCCTCTATTTTCTGATAAAGAATTAGAGCAAACAAAGAGGGAATTAGCATCAGCATGTTTATTCTAATTTAATTTAATAAATTCCCCTAAAATCCCCAAGAACCCTAATTTATAACCCCCAAACAAAGGCAAAAAGGAGAGAGAAAACCCAAATAAAGGGAAATTTGAGGAATTCAACATACCGTAATCAAGGGGAGGACGCTTTCCGATTGCTGAATTCGTCAATGACGGCGGCGGTTGTCCACCGTCGCTGTATCTCCAGTACGCGTACGCCATGTTTGAAGCTTGTCGATGGTCACTACTTGGTTTGTAGGCTCCACGGAGAGAGATATGGGGAGCGGAGAGAAAGGAAGACCAGAGGAAGATGAAAGAATATGGATTTTTCAGTAGAGAAGAGGAGAAAGAGGAAGAGTGAGAGATGAGAGGAGAGGAGAGCGGAGAGGGGGCTCCCCTTCTGAGATCAATGAACGCTGGAAAAAGTGTAGCTTCTCCTTCCCTTTTCACGATGACCAACACGCGCACCTTCGATTTTATTTATTTATGCTTTTTATATTAGCACCCCACAACATGTTGAATGCACACCACATTAAAATTTAATATTAATGACTAATTTACTCTACTATTTAATGACAATTTTGACCTTATTAGGTTTAAAAAATAATAAAAATTTTATAAATACATCCCAAATCACTTTTAACGTATTATTTATCTATTTCAACTATCAAAACCCCTCCTATTCTCCATTGTTGAATAAAACCCTAAGCAATGAAACTACAAACATGTTGATTGAGAAAGATAATTTTTTACGAATGGAACACGAAATCGGTGTTTCGAAAGCTTTGAAATCATTATTATTGTTATTGAAAAACGTTCAAATGAACCTAAACATTTTTTGAAATCATTCGGCAAACTAACGTTCAGATAGTTTGAAATCATTCGGCAAAATAAAAAATGAGTGTTATAAAATTTGAGAAATATGGGGTGTGTCTAGAAAATATAAGGTGTATATTAAGAATGTGGGGTGTGAGGGTATTATGGTGAAGGAAGTGGGGTGTATTAAGATAATTTTTAATTGAAAAAGTAAATGTGGGGTATATTAAGTATGTGGGGTTTATTCAACAATTTGTAGGGTGCTAATATTATATAGAAAATGTGTATTCAATATATTCATTTGAGGGATTACAGCCCATATCATATATACTAAAACCCGTAAGGGCTGATCACTGTGGATGACCAGTGTGTGGACGTTTTTGCCCCTCCATTTTTCCTCTGTCTCGCTTGCTATTTCCATATTTGTACAGTCGAATGACTGTTTTGCCCATTCACTCCACGCGTCCGTCATCGACTCACCCTCTATTTGGGTTGCGTCTTCTGGATTTTTCTGTTTGTTTCCGCCGGTCTCTCACACATCTCAATTCTATTGTTCTGCAACTCACCCTTTCTCGCTATCCCTTTTTGCCACCGCTCCGATTCCGCCTGTGTTGACAGCCTTCAAACTATAGAAATCATCATTGATCAAGCTTCTATTTCAACTGTGGCCTGTTAATTTTTGTCTTCATCTGGCTGATTCCAGCTGTGTTCGCACCCTTCAAAACCTAAATACCAAAATTCAGATCAGTTTTCTGAAGCTTGGGTTTGATTTTGTTCCGCTTCGTTCTGCTCCTCGCCTTCCTGTTTATTTGCCAAGAAATATTGAATGTACCCATAACTTGCCTTCCTCTTTCGGTTTCCAACTTTAAATTTTAAGGTATGAGGGGTTTCGAATAGGGATTCTAATGAATGAAGAGAGCGTTCTCAATTTTTCAAAATTTTCATGAATTTATTGGTTTTTTTAAAGCATGATCTGTTATTGTAATCTGAAATTTTTTGATCTGGGTTTGCCTTTTTTATTACTTTTGCTAATTGGATCTGATTGTTTTGGTGTTCAGACCAAGTCCCTCACCGGACGAGGATCTAGATCCGACCGACAAACGTTGGAGGTGAGATCCGGACTCCTCCCTCTTATCGTGGTGTGCTTTTTTGCATGTTGGTTTTGGTTTTATTGTTAAAATCACTCAGCCACTACAGCTTTTTTTGGAATTTTTGTTGTTCATTTTACTTGGATTTAGAGATTTTTTTTTTCTCTTTTATTTAATTTTTTTCACTTCTGCTGAAATTACATTTGGTTCAATTTTGTCAATTTCTGTTTGTGTCTGTAGAGAATTTTAGCGTTTTTTTTTTGTGATTATTATATGATGATTGGCTGACAAATTGTGGTTTTCCAAATTTTGGTTTTGCAGTATTTAACAGATAGGCAACTAGCTTTCAGATATAAGGAGAGGAAACTAAGGTATCCAAATTACCTAGAAACAGAGGTCTAACGGTTTCAAACCCAAGAACAGAAGCAACTCTGTGTGCATCACCCACCCAAGAACAGAAGCAGCTATGTGGGCATCACCTTGGAAACTGTGGGTGGCATCTGTGCAGCCATCAAATCGTTTATAAACAACCAGAAGACTATCCAAAACATGCTTTTATCTGAGGTACTGGTCATTACTTGCCAATATTGATCTTCTTTGTTAATATGAACTTTTTGCTATAAATTTAATTTCAAATTTTGCGTTTGGCTTGATATGCTAGAAAATATATACATTTGAGAATATTGAGAACTTACAGGTGTTGTAGCTACTGAATTTTGTCAACGGTTCATTCAGATTCATATTGGGATGTTCATGCTTTCAATAATTAATTAATGGCATTAGTGATTTATGAGCACTCAAGCCGGCAAAAAACTTTGCTTCTCAACAAAATTGGGATAGCTTCTAAAAATGGCTATTGGGAATCAAAACCTGTTTCAAATTAGTTTATCACTAATCATTTAGGATATTTCCACTGTGTTACACACCATGGTTATGATAAATTAATACAAATCATGTAGTGTGATATTTCCATAACTACTTATGTTGTTGATCATACTCAAAGATGGCTTTTCAGTGATATCATATATACTAAAACTCAACCCCCCTGGTCACTGTGGATGACCAATGGGCGGACTGTTTTGCCCCTCCGTTTTATATCGATTTCCCTTGCTGCTCCCCGCGTCCTCATCGTGCAACTTTTCGTTGGATTTTCTTCCTCCTATAGTGTAATACACGTGTTGCTCATCGTGGAAGGGAAGAAACATGGAAAAGCGGGCTCTTCCATTTGCTTCCACAGATTTCTCGAGCTCTCTCTCAAGCTCCGAATCGCTGGCCTCCGCAAGAAGGTATTTGTCTCTCACTTTTTTTTTTTCAATTCGAATTTTGTTTGAATGAATGTTGGATCTGTTGCCTTCGGGAAGAAATTTTAACCTAGAAAAGCTTGATTTTCAGGAAATCGCCAATTCGAAAGCTTGGTTTCCTGGTGAGTTCTACGACTTATTTGTTGAAATTTTTGTGATTTTAATTTTAAAAATCTGGGTTTTTTTGTTCAATGGTTTGCTCCATCTTCTTAGCTTTCTCACTAGAGATCTCTGCCATGGCTGCTCCACCAAACTTGCGTCCGCTCTTTCGAACCAGGTACAACTTCTTTCATTTTCTTTTGTTTCTGGGAAAATTTAGGGCTTGAAAATGTGTAGAATTGTAGAAGTTAAAGCCTGTCTCAATCTCTATGTTGGTCTATACACAATGAAATTGAATTTTGTGTTTCAGCATACCCTTACTGGAATTTTATGATTTGGGATAGTGGCGATTTGAAACCGTTAACTGGGATGAGAATTAGAGTGATTTGAAAACGGAGAGCAAGGAATTGCAGGTGGGTAGTGATAAATGATAATGGTGGGGACACCATGATGATAACACAAATTCACTATTTTGCACAGTTTTGAAAGTTGACTTCTTTTCTTTTTTCATTTTTAATTTTAATTTTTGTATTTTTGAACAGGTGGTGTTCTGGTTTGTCATTCCTTCTCATCACTTCTACAAGAGGTTAGTTTTCTTTTTTGCATTTAAAGAATGTTTAAAGAAAAATTGTATGTAATTGATTTTCTGCTATAATGTTTTGAAATTCCTTATTTTACTTGAATGTATTAGTGCTTGCTTTTGCTTTCACCCAGGTATCAAATCGGTTTTGTTTGTATGGTAACATGGATTGCTCAGGTTACGTAGGAGAGGATGGAGGTGAGAAATACAATTGGGAAAGATATGCTGAGAGGTTTACAAAACACCTTTGACGCTGTCGGTGAGGATTCTTCTGTTTAAAAGTAGGAATTTTTTAATTTTTCGTGGAATCGATGTTTTGTTTTTGACTGAGTTTATAAAGGATTGCTTGGACAAGTACAGGGTGTTTGGGACTCAAATTTATACACTGCTATAAGATCAATTTGTAATCCCGCAGCAACGCGCGGGCATTACTAGCTAGTTTATACATAAACTTTAAGCTATCTACCTAGGAGGTTACAATGAAACGGAAAGCTAATTATATCCTAATAAAAGCTAATAACAACATAACAGCTAAACAATAATGTATTGTTCTAATAAAAGCTAATAACAACATAACAGCTAAACAATAATGTATTGTTCTTGAATAGACTTAACTATGGTAACTCTTGTAACCTCCTAACACTCCCCCGCAAACTTGACGCCGGAGAGGTGACAAGTTTGGAAATAAGACGTGCAAACTGTGCAACGGGTAAGCCTTTGGTGAAGACATCCGCAAGTTGAAACAGGGACGGGATAAAGCGAACCTTGTGACTGTCAGAAGCAACTCGTTCACGAACAAAATGATAATCAATCCCAATGTGTTTTGTGCGAGCATGAAGCACGGGATTAGCAGCTAAGTGTGTGGTGGACAAGTTGTCACAATTTAGTAATACGGGATGGGTGAGTGGACAACGAAGTTCACTTAAAAGATGTTGAATCCATATAGTGTCCGCGCATGCATAAGCGAGAGCTCGATACTCGGCCTCTGCACTGGAACGAGAAACTGTGGGATGTTTCTTGGCACTCCATGAGATGAGATTAGATCCCAAAAATATGCAGTAGCCGGATGTGGACCTTCTTGTATCAGGACATCCTGCCCAATCGGCATCGGAGTAGGCAATTAGGAAGGAACAATCAGGAGACCTACGAATAGGAAGACCAAACCCAAGGGTGCCTTTGAGATAACGTAATATTCGCTTAACAGATTCAAAATTAACATCACTGCGGGATCCCATAAATTGAGCAACATGTTGAACCGCATATGAGATATCGGGACGGGTCATGGTAAGGTATTGGAGGGCACCAACAATGTGTCGATAAAGTGTAGGATCGGCAAGTGGAGTACCATCAGTACGAGAAAGTGTACCTTTCGAAGCCATGGGTGTGGAAACAAGTTTACAGTCCAAGAGATCGATGCGTTTGAGAAGATCTACTGTGTATTTGTTTTGAGTAAGATGGAGCGAATCTGTGTGATAATTAACCTCCATGCCAAGAAAATAATGCAAACGCCCCAAATCTTTGATGTCAAATTCTGCTCCCAGTGTGCGAATAAAGTTGTGAATATGAGAGGAATCACTGCCCGTGAGAATAATATCATCCACATACAATAACAAAATCAACATATGAGAATTGTCCTGATAAACAAACATGGAGTTGTCGGCCCGACTTTGATAGAAACCAAACTGTAAAAGGAAAGAACTAAATCGTTGAAACCATGCTCGTGGAGCCTGCTTGAGACCGTAGATGGCCTTATGAAGTTTGCACACATGGTGAGGACGATCAGGATCAATAAACCCCGGGGGTTGGCTCATGTAAACCTCCTCAGAAAGAAAGCCATGCAAGAATGCATTTTTGACATCGAGTTGCCGAATGGACCATTGGAAAGAAACAGCCAGACAGAGAACGGTACGAATCATCGTGGGCTTGACGACGGGGCTGAAAGTATCAAAATAATCAACTCCAGACTGTTGATGGAATCCTTTAGCAACGAGACGTGCCTTGTACCGTTCAAGTGTGCCATCGGATCGCCGCTTAATCTTGAAAACCCATTTGCAACCAACCGTATTGAGTGAATTATTGGGACGTACCAAGGACCAAGTACCCTGATGAATAAGTGCATTATATTCTTTGAGCATGGCCTGTTTCCACTCGGGAGAGTGAGATGCTTGTGTGTAGCACGTTGGTTCAATATTCATGTCCACTAAGGCAGCAAAAGCATGAGGGACAGGATACCGAGTAGAGAAGTTGGCCTGGTATTTAGGATTGGGCTTTAAAATACCAGATTTGGAACGAGTGACAACTGGACTGCGAGGTGGTGGAGCAACAGCGGAAGAATCGTGGGTTGTAGATGACGCGGCAGTAACAGGTGGCAGCATGGAAAGTCGCGAGGCAGAGAGTGGCTGGTCAAGGAGGTTGCTGTGCTCAGGAACTTCTGTCGGTGTTGGCAGGTCAAAGGCTGCAGGTGCGGGTGGGAGGACAGCTAGAGTGTCAAAGGCAACAGGTGGCAAGTTTGCTGCGGCATCCATAGATGAGGATGAAGTCTCGGCAGGAGGACAAGTGGAGGGTGCAGCAGTCGGTGTTTGCTGCAAGAGTGATGTCTCAGGGACAAGTGTACGTGGTGGGACAGGTGGCTAAGAAGATGGAACAAATGACAAGTCCACAGGAACAATGGCGAGCGGTGGAGATGAAACAGGTGTAGAGACAGCAGCATAATAAAATTGATCTTCATGAAAAATGACATGACGTGAAATATATAGGCGTCCAGTTGGTGGATGTAAGCATCGATATCCACGATGTTAAGCACTGTAACCAACAAAAACACACTGGAGAGAACGAGGTTGTAATTTGTTAGATACATAATTTCCAAGATATGGATAACACATGCACCAAAAAATGCGAAGAAATTTATAGTCTGGAGAATGACCAAATAAGGATTGGTATGGGGAGATCCCTTGAAGAACAGGTGACGGGAGTCTATTAATTAAATAGACTGCCGTGCATAAGGATTCAGCCCATAAGTTGTGAGGCATGTGAGCAGTATGTAAAAGTGTACGACCCATATCAGCAATATGACGATGTTTACGCTCAGCCAATCTATTCTGCTGGGGTGTATGAGGACAAGAAGAACGGTGCACGATGCCATTAGTTGCACAAAATTGCTTAAACTGTAGGTTGTCATATTCCTTACCCCCATCACTCTGGAATTGTTTAATAGACAAAGAGAATTGAGTTTTAACATATAAAACAAAAGTAGAAAAATGTCCAAAAACTTCGGACTTAAGACGCATGGGGAAAATCCACGAATATCGAGTAGAATCATCAGTAAACAAGACATAATAACGATAACCAGAGACAGACAGGACAGGAGAGACAGACAGGACAGGAGACATCCACACATCTGAATGGATTAAATCAAAAGGTGCAAGAGAACGGTGTTCATGAGGTGAAAAAGAAAGTTTTATTGATTTAGATAAGGCACAATGGCTACAATTTGAATGCCGTAAACGAGAAGTAGAACCTAAAAATGACTTAGAAACCAGTGAAGCAAGCACGTTGTTGGAAGGATGACCAAGACGACGATGCCAAAGAGATGAAGAATCAGCAACAGAAGAAAAAACGGTCTTGGGCCCAGTTAGGAGGGTAGGAAAGACGGGATAAAGGCCATCTTTACATAGGCCCTGAAAAAGAATAACACCAGTTTGTAAGTCACGAATGTGATAACCCCAAGGAAAGAAAGTAATACTAACATGCATATCACGTGTAAATTGAGCGACCGATAAAAGATTTTTATGAAGAGAAGGAACACGAAGAACATCAGAGAGACGAAAGACATAAGTACCAGAGGAAAACGAAACTTTACCAGACTGAGTGATGGGGAGGGTGTCACCATTACCAATAACAACATTGTCACGGGGTGCAGAGGATGTACCGGAAGGAAACAACTTAGCATCATGAGTCATGTGATTTGTAGCACCGGAATCCCAATACCAATTAGGATCTGAAGAGGGAGCAACATGCATGCCGGCAAAGGGACGAGAGTGAGGACATTTGGCTTGAACATGTCCATATTGGTGGCAATGCCAACATTGAACCGCTTGACGAGGTGGAGGGGGACCGAGAAGACCTTGAGCGTTGAAGGAAGGTCGCTATTGCCGAGAGATGTTCGGTGCAAGGCCCTGAAAAGAATGATATGGTGGCCTATGGCCTGAGGTATCACGCGAACGGAATGGACGCTGACCACGGGGCGGACGTGTGGTGATCATGGCAGCATGGGAGGGTGTAGAATTGAGTTGAGCCGCAAAGGCTTGTTGGCTCTCAAAAGCAAGCAATTTGGTGCGAAGGTCAGAAAAGGGTGGGAGGGGCGGGAAATTGAGAAGAGCCGTCACAAGCATCTGGTAATCAGGTCCCAGACCACGAAGTACGTAAGTAACCAAGTCAGAATTGGACACAGGTTCGTGGATAGCAGTGAGTTCATCATCCAAACTTTTGGCTTGAGCAAGGTAATCAGAAACGGGTTTGGAGCCTTTGGTAAGAGAGAATAGACGAAATTTCAGTTGTGCAGCATTGGCAAGTGACTGTTGAGAGAAATTTTGCTGGAGACAGTCCCATATATCTTTTGAGGTGGAGAACCCAATGACTTGAGGAAGGACGACTTCAGACAGTGTGGCACGAAGGATACTAATGAGACTTTGATCTGTTTGAAACCAAGAGGTGTAGTCAGGATTAGGTGTAGGTGTAGGAGTAGGTGTTTTGTCATCACTTGAAGAAGAGGTCAAAGTGGATGGAGGACATGGAAAAGAGCCATCAACAAAACGCCAAAGATTTTGGCCTAGCAAGAAAGGTTTGACTTGGCTTTCCCACACAAGATAGTTTGTATCAGAAAGTTTGACAGAGACAAGATGAGAGATATTGGGGATAGAGATAGGGGGAAAAGCTGATGCACTACCTGAAGCCATAAGGTCGTACCCAGTGCACAAGGCTCCCGCTTTACGCAGGGTCTGGGAGAGGTGAATGTCGGCTAGCCTTACCCCCATTTATAGAGAGGCTGCTCTCAAGTCTCGAACCCGAGACCTACCGCTCATGGGCGAAGGCACTTGCCATCGCACCAAGTGCGACCTCTATGCACTACCTGAAGCCATGTCGAAAAAAAAAAAAAAAATTAGGCTCTAGATACCATGTAGAAAATGTGTATTCAATATATTCATTTGAGGGATTACAGCCCATATTTATACATAAACTTTAAGCTATCTACCTAGGAGGTTACAATGAAACAGAAAGCTAATTATATCCTAATAAAAGCTAATAACAACATAACAGCTAAACAATAATGTATTGTTCTTGAATAGACTTAACTATGGTAACTCTTGTAACCTCCTAACAATTTATTTATATTCACAGATGGCATGGCCGTAAATAATGTGAAATTCACCCCAAATCACTGGTCATTTGAACAGTGCAATTGAAATCTCTTCTTTAGACTAAAGTAATTTTATATTACTGTAGGCTCAAAATATTATAAAAGGCATTTGACTCAGAAATGTAAGAATTTTACATCTAGCTACTAGCATAAGGAAATGATGTTTTAAACTTTCAGGTTTTGAAAGCTGATTCTGCATATTTGCTTTAATCTGTTTTCCATTTGGTATAAGGTTTTGTACAAGAGCAGATGTGACAATTGCCTTTATGAGATCACTGAAAGGGCATCTGCTGATAGATGTGAGGTATGCTGTAGGATACTTGAGCCTAAGCACATACTGTATTGGCTTAATGAATACTACATGAATCTAGGCTGAGTCCCTGGCTAAGAAATATGAAGAGAAATACAAACAAGCTGGAGATGTAGCTTCCAAGTTGACTAGTGAAGAAGCCACGTTTTGTGATTTACAGACCTTTCACCTATATAAATTTGTGGACAATTAGTGACCCATGTTGTGTGTTTTCTTTTGCTCATTTGAAGACCAAAGTGTCAAGTGCTTGCTGTTCGTTTTATCTGAGTCATATTTACCTGAACATTTGAGATGGCGTGCCTTTATTTTTTATGAGATAAGTGCCAATCAAAATACAAAAACAAATATGAGAAGGAGAAAATTATTTTATAGTTTTTAGGCCAGGTGGGATAGATAGCTGATGAAAGAGAGAAAGCGGTGTGGGAAAATAGAATCAGTTGAATGGTCATACCCCTAGAGGTGTTTTGTTTTTATTATCATGGACTGATTATCTTACGTGATTTATATGCAGGAGAAGAAAATGGAGCTAAACAGGGCAGTTGTCAAGATGGAGCAAGAAGGTGATGTTGATGCGCACTTCAGGTACCTTTGCGCAACCTTGCTGTTTAAAAAATACCTTTGCTCAACTTGTCTAAGATCATTTCCAACTGTAATTTTCAGGATCGTGTTGATCACATGCAATTAGATCTTGATGGGCTTGTGAAAACTCTCAATGAGCACTGCAAGAAGTATGGACTACGCAGAAAGCCTACAACATTAACTGAGCTTCCCTTTGGTACGTTGATCTCTTCCTTAGCTAATTTCTTGGGAGTCTAAGAATCTTATAAATAATGATAAGAATACTTCCGTTTGCTTATTCTTTATCAAACTATCTGATGGATTGTATACAGAACACGTTGTTGTTAGATATACTTTTACTTTGGGTTTGTCAAATTATTTCAATTTATAAATGGCATTGTCTTTCTAGAACCCGAAGGTCATTAAATTATCAAAATCCTACACAGAAACCCTTATTTTCACTATTGTAATATTTTCCTAATCACTCTGGTTTGTTTGATTACCATTATTCGAATTCCATGTAGCGCTTCATGAGTGTGTAATTTTCTTTTTCGTTATTGTTCACTGCTGCGGTATTTGTACTATATTGCGTCTTGTAATCTGAAATTTTACTTTGTTATCATATATGCTGGCAACCTGGCATCCTAGAAGGAGCTGCTGACTGGGATGAGGATTGGGATAAGTTTGAAGACAAATGTATGCCAAAAATGAGTTACTATAGGTCCAGTATTGTCTCTGAGATAATAATTTCTGGTATCACTTGGATTCCTTTTACCTTTTCACTTTGTGGTAAATGGATCATATTGCCCGCTGTTGTAGTTTCTTTGTCGTCTGGTTGTGGTTTGCCAACCTGTTCAAGAGTTTTAACTATTCGAGGTGACTCATTCACAAGTTCACTTTTGAGGATTCACTTTTGTCAAGGAGTTCACTCTTGATGTGTCAAATGTCTCTTGGCGCCTCCAATACAGAAATCATCATCAGTTCAGAAAGAAAAAGCTCCCCCAGTTGAGAGTTCAACAACAGCTTCTTCACCTAAAGTTGATGTTCAGTCAGAAAAGCCTCAAAATGCGGATGACAAGGCCGTTGAAAATGGAGCAGCATATGATAAAAATGAAGGCAAGTCAGCAAAAGGTGCTCCGAACAGTCCATTTGCTAGCAGTACTGTTGGAAGGCCATCTAGAGAATTTTCAGATTCTAACTATGCAAAGACAACAGACGCAGATGCCTCACCCAGTAATAAGGAATCTCAAAGGTATAGTTCTAGATCTGTAGTTTTCTACATATTTAAGGCCACCCTGATACGTGCAAAATTGTTGATATTCTAAACTGTCATGCGCGGTGATGATCATGCGGGTGCTGGGTCTATGTTTTCTGGTGACAAAGGTTCCGATGAACCAGCATGGGGGACATTTGACAATAATGATGACGTTGACTCGGTGTGGGGTTTCAGTGCAGTTAGTACCACCAAGGTAAGCCGATATTGTACATTCAGTATTTTTTTTTTTTTTTTTGTATTTTAGAGTGCATTAAGTATTTATTTATTAGAACTCAATTCTTTGACCTTGTGTTTATGCTGACTGGATCTTGCTCCATGATTGCTGTTAATACTACCTAGTTGTTTGTGGTGGTGACCACTTATCCTTGTTTTAGGAGTTTGCCTTAAGTATTCTAAGTTCCTAATGCTTGCTGAGTTGTTTAGTTATTGAAGATGGTTCTGGGAATTTTAACATTATTTGAATAGTTTCTATCTTCACCATTCTGATGGTTTCATCATGCAAATCAGTTAGTAGTACGGGTCTTTCAACCAAGTATGGCGAAACCAAGTTTCCTGATTTTAGTTTTGGCTCACTGCGGGATTGTTCTTGGTGCAATTAATTGCACGTTGAAGGGGACTCTGATTTAAGCCTTGGGTCTTGGTTAATCTTAGTCAAGATCATTTTTTTGTGTTGACAACTTGACATTGACAAGAGATGGTGCCATATTGCGCACACTTGTCGAATATTGATGGTTTCCGGTTAACAATGTATTAGTCATTGTTAAAAATAGTGACTGGAAAAAAGAAAGTTAAATTTCAAGTTAAAAAACTAGCATTCATTGTCATGTTAGAAACAGTTACTGTTAACATTCTGTAGCCGATGGAAAGTTTCCATTATTTTGCACCTTCCAAGTAGGCATGGATTCTCGGTTCCAGTGAATCCGCTTTCTTTTCTAATAGCATGTCGGTTACGTAGCACTTTCAAGCTTTTTGTTTTTGTGGTTTTATATTTGTTGTTATTGCTGGCATGCTGGATTGTGCTGTAACTGCTCTTAATCGTGTCTGATGTAGGATATGGATCAGGAGTCACTACTTTTCTGGCCCTGGGGAGTTCGGCCTCAACCCTATCAGGACTGGGTCATCACAAGGAGGTGGCTTTTCCCAGAAGAGCCGCCCTTTCACTTTCGACGATTCTGTTCCTAGCACACCACTCTCAGCCTTCAATTCAGGGTATTCACCGCCAAGGTACAAGGATAGCTCAGAACCTTCATTTGACACCTTCTCTAGGTTTGATTCGTTCAGAATCACACAAGATACTGGATTTTTTCCTCAACTAGAGGCACTCGGAAGATTTGATTCTATGCGCAGCAGTAGAGATTTTGATCAGGGTCATGCTTTTCCAACATTTGATGACATCCCAGACCCTTTTGGCTCTTCGGTGCCATTTAGGTCATCGCTGGACAATCAAACTCCAAGAAGAGACTCAGACCCCTTCGGATCTTCAGGTCCATTTCGGACGTCACTGGACAGTCAAACTCCGTGAAGAGAATCAGATTTTTTCGGGTCTTCAGCAAGCGCCATTTAGGACATCATTTGACAGTCAAACTTCAAGAGGAGACTCAGACGCATTTGGGTCCTCTCCATTTAGGACATCATTCGACGGTCGAACTCCAAGAAGAGACTCGGACCCATTTGGGTCTTCTTCAGGGCCTTTCCGGACGTCATTGGAGACTCAGAGAAAAGACTCTAATCATTGGAGTGCATTTTAGCCAGGTAGTTGCTCTGCTTATAGCTAATCCCAAGTGGGAAATGAATAATTATCATTCGAGTTAATTTGTAAAACTCCATCTAAATTACAAAATGATTACAAAAACTGGGGCAGAGTGTAACAAATTAATTATAATTGCTAAAATGTAAAAATGCTACGAAACTGAGGACTGGGCAGCAAATTGTTGAATTATCAAAAGTAGTGTAAGAAATGGTAAAAGAGGTCCCATGAGCAAGGACTGGGAGAAACCAAAGCAGAAGCCGGCCCAGGGCTATTGGCCATCCCCATCCAATTATTAAGCATTGGGCTGCTTATGACGTCATGCTGATGTTGATGTGAGAAGAACCCACTTGGGACCGCCGGCAGAGACGCTGGCGCCGGAGACAATATGCCCGGTGTTAGGGTAAAATTGGCAATCCCTGACAAAATGCCTGAGTCTGTAATAGCTTAGACTTGTTACATATTTACAATTGTAATAGTTTTAGTCTAGGGAGGTTTCTCACACTTTCAATGCGAAGATGTTACCAAAACGCGATACTCATTCAGGTACGTTTGCATGCATGCATCCAACTACATTCATCTATATCCATATGTTATTGTATTTGGGTTAGGACTTTTATTCTTGTGTGTTTTACTTTTCTAGAATGAATTATCCTGTCTTTCAAACCGTGTCATCAAACTGATTTTTCAAAATATGTTTTCAAACTTATCTGTTTGCATGAAGAGTTATCTGATTGCATGTTGGTAGAATTGTTAAACTACATGGATTGCTTTGTAGTACTTATCAGATAAAGGGCCGGTACTGTTGATATATATATGGGAAGTCAGGAACGTGAAGGGTTGAGCCATATATGCATGAAAAACTGATTTTATTGAAAAAGAATCTTTAGAAACATCAGCTTGGGTTTTGTGTGCATGGAAAATCAATTTAAATATTGATGTTAGCTTGTGGTTCGAATAGCATGAGGTTTTAAGAGAAAATATTGTTTTCATGCTGATTTCATTTGGGTTTTAAATTGAATATCAATTATGGAAATGTGCCTTGTGATTTTCGTAATTGATTGTTTTTCAAACAAACACTTCATCATATAATCATTCTGCATGATCGAGTTAGTATCTTGCAAAGTTCGAGGAAAAGGTGATTGACGGCTGCGTTAGTGCCGTGCCACTTCAACTCGAAGACTGACGAAAGATCGAGTAGCAAAGCGCGAAGACAAAGCTGCCAACTAGTATGTGTGTCTAGTTGAAGAGTTCTTGTAAGTCTTTATGTATTCTTTCTTTCTTAGTGCTTCCTGGCTTGGTAGCCCGAGGATTTTCCCAGTGGTGGGTTTTGCCTCGTTAAATCCTACATCATGTGCGTACTCTTTATATTTGTGCTGAATATTTGTGTAGGATTATATTTGCACATCTGATTGATTTAAACCATAAATTGAATTAGTGTTAAGTTGAAGTTTATTTATATTACTAGATTAAATTAGTATCCATCCTAGAACTTTCACCCGGAAATGGACCCATTTCGTCAAGTTGCACTGACCCTCCTCCGCCTCCGCCTCCTTAATCTTCAAGATAATTGAAAATACTTGTCATGAAGTCGTCGTCAAAGCTAGTACTAGTGGTGGCGGCGCCAGGGACGACCTTGTTGTGATCCGAGGTTGAAGAATTAGGGCTTGTCTTGTGTACGGAGGCGAGTCTTGCAGCCGGTGAGAGGCCGTCGGCGGAGGAGGAGGGCCGCTGGACTTGATCAAAGATAACAAACATGATATTACACACTTGTCTATAACATTGCGCTTTATAATGCATAAACAATACTAAATAGCCTTGCCTGTTTGTCACTATTATTTCTTTTCTTGGACAAACAAGCAAATGCTGTCCTTGAACTTACCTCTGTCTTCAGCGCCGTGCAGCCTTGAGCTCGAACATTACATAGCACTGGGAGTTCTAGCAAAGATTGAAGCCACTTGCAGCCGACTAATTCGAGTGTAGACAACCGAGAAGCCTGTTTGATGCTTGCAGGTATGCTCCTAATCTTGGTTCCAGACAGATATATACGTTTCAATGAGGTTGAGCAAACGAGACCATCAGGGATTTCCAATATACCGCTGTTGATGAGAACGAGTTCTTCTAAAGAGAGAAAACGGGTATAGGTGAAGGGCAATTTTTTAAGTTCCAGACAGCCAGACAAGTCGAGACGTTTAAGATTGGTTAAACGGTAGATACTTGTTGGGACAACCTCAAGGTGCCTGCAGGCAGTAAGGTCTAAAATTTGAAGCCCAATTAGATTTCCAAATGACGAAGGAAGCTTTTGTACAGCTGTCCCTAGCAAACTAAGAGACACCAAATGTTCCATTGGCTCCAAGATCTCTAGGAAAAGTTCAAGTTTAGAGCAGCAATTGAGAGAGGGTCTCTTGAGATATTTCAACTTCCCAATGTTGATTGGTAGACTCACAAGACTTCTGCAATGAAGTAACGATAATGTAGTTATATCCCTGGGAAGCTCAGAAAACTCGCGAAGAGACGTGCAGCCATCTAGATCAAAACTACCAAAGACTTTGAGCTTACCAAGTTTGACTTTCTAATGTAAAAATGTGGTTTTTCGTTAAAGTGAACAATACTAGGAGCTTTTTGTTAAAGTTTCCTTTATATAATCTACAGACTTCTAGCTATTTGATTTTTGCAGTGGATTATTTTTGAACAATTGGATGTCTCTGGTCTGAATTAGTATTGATTCTTGAATTGACAAGTACTCCTGGGAGGAAGTGCATATCATGTGTTTTATCATTGTCTATAGCTTTATGTGTGACTGAGATTGTATAGGGAAGGAAATGTAAGTTGGGTAATTCTTGCAGGGTACATAAGTAGTTTGGTGGTGATATGAAGGCTTTTGTGAGGGGTTCTGTATGGCAACAGTTTTTTGGGGTTTCTTGGTTTGAGAGAAACACGAGGATTTTTTAAAATGATATTTGGATGAGGACTAGTTATGGAATAAAGTTAGGTTTTGTTCACCACATTGGCTGAGTATCTATTTTCTAAATTTCATGATCCATATCCTTTGAAAGATACTGTTTTGGGTATTCTGATTTATGTTGAAGGTCCTGTATGTAGGAAGACGTACAAATGAGTGGCGAATGAGCACTTTGGTGCCTATCTACAAGAATAAGGGTGACGTACAAAATTGCATGAACTATAGGGGTATTAAGCTAATGAGTCATACAATGAAGCTCTGGGAGAGAGTCATTGAGCATAGATTGAGGCAAGAGACACGGGTTTCGGACAACCAATTCGGGTTCATGCCAGGGCACTCAACCATGGAGGCAATCTATCTCTTACAAAGATTGATGGAAAGATATAGAGATGGGAAAAAGGATTTACACATGGTCTTTATAGATTTGGAAAAAGCGTATGATAGGGTTCCAAGAGACATTATTTGGAGGATTTTAGAGAAGAAAGGAGTACGAGTAGCATATATCCAAGCTATAAAGGATATGTATGAAGGAGCAAAGACTGCCGTAAGAACTCATAAAGGACAAACCGAAAGCTTTTCCATAACTGTAGGATTACATCAAGGCTCATCCTTAAGTCCTTACCTTTTTGCGTTGGTAATGGATGAGTTAACATGACATATTCAAGATGATATTCCTTAGTGTATGCTTTTCGCAGACGATATAGTGTTGATAGATGAAACTCAGGAAGGGGTAAATGCAAAGCTTAACCTTTGGAGAGAAGTGTTGGAATCTAAAGGTCTTCGCCTAAGCCGATCAAAGACAGAATATATGGAGTGCAAGTTCAGTGCAAATGGAGGTTAAAACGAGTTAGGGGTGAGGATCGGAGATCAAGAAATACCAAAGAGCGATCGTTTTCGTTATCTAGGATCTATCTTGCAAAAGAACGGAGAATTAGATGGAGATCTCAACCATAGAATACAAGCTGGATGGATGAAGTGGAAGAGTGCATCCAGCGTGTTGTGTGACCGCCGTATGCCACTGAAGCTCAAGGGAAAATTTTATAGGACGGCAATAAGGCCGGCGATGCTGTATGGCACAGAATGTTGGGCGGTGAAGCATCAATACGTACACAAAATGGATGTAGCGGAGATGAGGATGCTTCATTGGATGTGTGGGCACACGAGAAAGGATAAGATTAGGAATGAGGATATCCGGGGTAAAGTAGGAGTAGCCGAAATTGAAGGAAAGATGAGAGAAAATCGGTTACGGTGGTTTAGACCTGTGCAAAGAAGGCCTACTGACGCTCCGATTAGAAGATGCGACTATGAGACAGAGGTTCAGGGCCGAAGGGGTAGAGGAAGACCTAGGAAAACTTTGGAAGAGACTCTAAGAAAAGACTTAGAGTACTTGGATCTAACGAAGGACATGACATAGGACCGAGCACAATGGCGTTCTAAGATTCATATAGTCGATCCCACTCAGTGACTTGGATTTTCCAAGTCTCCAACCGAGAAGTTTTCCTCACTCGGGAAATTAAGGGAACACTACCTCAACCTACATGCTCCACTCACAAAACTTCAACATACAAGCTTCAACAAAAGAAAATTCAAAGAACTTAGCGAAGAAGGCTTTGGTGTATTTAACACAATACGTTGAAATGAAGGAAAGCTTATTTATTGATATCCCCGATAAGTTACAAATATGTACATATACATGAATCAAAATAAACAAAGAAGAGGGAGCCTTCACAAAGGTTGCTTAGGAAAAGTCTCAGCAGTCGGTAGAGCCCCAGAAATAGAAGGCACTGGAGGGGGATCGTTCGGAGCTTCAGTACTGGACAGAACCCTAGAAGGAGGAGGCATCAGAGGTTGATCATTTGGAGCTTCATTACGCGGTACAGCTCCAGACGACGAAGGCAATAAATGCCTTTGGAACAAACCCACAAATCTCTGATGATCAAGTAAAACCTGACCATCAGATTCCTTCATTTGGTCAAGCTTCCTCTTCATGTTTGTAGCATAGTCATGTGCGAGCCGGTGCAACTGTTTATTCTCTTGCTTGAGCCCTCTAATCTCCTGTTTGAGACTCATCACTTCAGCCGCCAATGATTCAACTTGGCGGGTTCGAGCAAATAGGCGTTGGGCCATATTAGTCACAGAACCTGCACACTGAACATTGAGAGCCAGAGAATCCTTAACAGCTAACTCATCAGACCGTTTGGAAAGTAGTCTGTTATCTTTGGGAGTGAGAAGGTTCCTGGCCACCACCGCAGCAGTCATATCATTCTTCATCATGGAATCCCCAACGGTAAGGACCAGTAGGGGAGACGAAGGATGGGCGCCATATGTTGTCTGGAGAAGGCGGGGCTGCCTCTTCAACAAGGTTCAAGTCAAAACGACGGTCGGATGGGCCAAACATTTTCAAAGGTGTTGAAGAGAGAAGAGGTCGGACAAATCAAGATCTTAGAAGTGCAAGAATGGAGCTTCTACTGGTGGAGATTCAAGTGTGCTTTGGAACTTAATGCCAGCCCCTATAAAAATCTGCACTCGACGGAGCTTCAGAAATCGAAGAGGCGTCTGCTCATAAATCGAAGAGGCGTTTGCTTTCTCGAAAGCTGGGCTGCTCAGAGACCACGAGGGTCGATCTCAGAAATCGAAGAGGCGTTTGCTTTCTCAAAAGCTGGGCTACTCAAAGACCACGAAGGCCGATCTCAGAAATTGAAGAGGCGTTTGCTTTCTCAAAAGCTGGGCTGCTCAGAGACCACGAAGGCCGATCTCAGAAATCGAAGAGGCACCTACTTTCCTAGCCTTGTCAGCACCTATCACACGCACTCTCAGCTTTGCGGAAATTATGGGCATTCTGTCGAAGACTTCTGGTGAAGTAGAAAGCACATGAATCTTACTGTTCAATCACCCACTTCTCACACGCAATAGTAGCTCATGGGTACCACATATAACTTTGCCAAAGTTCTTTGACAAAGTTGAGACACGTGAAGCTTGCAGCTCCCACTACATAGCTCTGACCAAGAAGGGTAAAAGAATAGCAAAGAAACAGCACTAACAAAGTTTAGACACATAAATTTTGAAGGTCTAGCTACTATATTATTACCCACAAGGGTAAAGGAACGGTACCACTGCTGGATAATTAGAAAGTCCCTGTGTGTCAACCTCTATGCTTCGTGGCAAGGTAGACTAGCAACATGCCTAACCTTTACTCACATTCGAGAAAACACTCCCAACAAGATTGCTTGCTCCAAAATTGAAAAGGCACCGTCCTCCGAATCTCGAGAGCCAGACTCCCAACATGACTACTTTCTCAAAAATCGAAGAGAGGGTAAAGGAACAGTACCATTGCTGGATAATTGGAAAGTCCCTATGTGTCAACCTCTGTGCTTCGTGGCAAGGTAGACTAGCAAACATGCCCAACCTTTACTCACATTCGAGAAAACACTCCCAACAAGATTGCTTGCTCCAAAATCGAAGAGGCACCGCCCTCCGAATCTCGAGAGCCAGACTCCCAACATAATTACTTTCTCAAAAATCGAAGAGACACCGCTCTCCGAATCTCGAGAGCCAGACCCCCAGCATGATTGCTTTCTCAAAAATCGAAGGCATCGTTCTCCGAATCTCGAGAGCCAGATCCCTGATAGGATTGCTTGTTCGAAAACCGAAGAGGCGCTACTTTCCCAACTTCAAGAGCCGGATCTCCTTGGATAAAGCTTGTCTGTAATCTTCACACACAACATCAGCTTTCCAGATACCACAGACCACTTTTTCAAAGTGCTCTGACAGAGTTAAAACATGTGAAGCTGACAGCTCCCACTACTGTGCTATGACCAAGCAGGGTAATGGAATAGCATTACTACTTGTTGTTAGGGAGACTCCTATATATGTCGACCTCCATCCCCAACGGACAGGCAGACCTACAAAAATGCTCAACCCTTCCTCATATCTGAGAGGGCACTCCCAACGAAGCCTTTCGAAATATTCAGCTTTCTTTTCCCCCGATAATACCTCTACAAACAAGCTATACTAGAGCAAGAATATCTCATATCATCAGGGTTAAAAGCAA